GGGGGGGGGGGAATCAGTAAAAATAGTCAAATTGTTTACAAGTTCCAAATATGCAGAGTTAAATCTTAGAAAAACCATACACATGTACAAAACAAATTGGAGAAACACAACTAGTGGCAGAAATAATGCAAAGTGATAGCCATTTGTACTATGCTACAAAGCCTCACAGTTCTTCACAAAGTCTAGTACAAAGCAGTCCTTATTTCCAAATCCTCCTGCTGTCAAAAGTACACGGATCTAGTCAGAGTAGATTCCATTACAAGCGATACTTTTATCGGTTCCCCACGTCGAAAATAGTCCGTGTGCACCACCTTGTTATTAACCTGCAAGAGAAAAGCACAGACTGTCCACAAGCCTGCAAAGCCCTGCGCAGAAAGCCTTTCGGGAAACCCCACAGGAGATGGCAGAATTCTGACCTCCAGGAACACAACACACACATCACTGCAAGGAGATGTCCCAACAAGTGCTCGGAGCGCAGCACTGGGAGATGGCAAGAGAGCTGGACTGAAGAGTCCACGGCCCTGGGTTCACTCTGGAGCTGCCGCCGGGAATATCAGGCCAGGCAGCAACCCTTTGTGAGCCCTGGCAGTCGTGGTAAAATGCGAACATGGGAGACACCATGTCCAAAGCATCCAGCAGCTGTGCAACTCCAGGGGTGGCTGTGAGCACACCTGTCACCTGCAAAGGCCACTCCATGCTGATTTCTAGACATCTTCTCACCAGCGTCTACTTAGCAAGAGCTTTAAAAATGAAGGGTGTTCAATAAAGACTTACACATTACTCAGCAAAACAGTTTTTCAGTCAGCTTTAAGCTATATACAGTTGGTTAAATCTGTCTGTATTATCACATTCCTGAGGAACTCTCAAAGAGAGAAATTGAGCAATAAGAGATATTTGGGAACATGGCTGGAGTCAAAATTATCTGTAGTCCCTCTCTTTAACATTTCCCCCACAAGCTTACCTTAATGAGGTAAAAAATTATTAAAATAAAGTTTTGAAAGCTTTTAAGGATCACATGTAAAGTACCAACAATAGTTTTTTGCCCTGGCCGAGTAGCTCAGTTGGTTAGAGCATCATGTCCCAATATGCCAAGGTTGCAGGTTCGATCCCCAGTCAGGGCACATAAAGGAATCAACTAGTGAATGATAAATAAGTGGAGCAACAAATAGACATTTCTCTCTTCCCCCCCCTCCATTCCTCTCTCTCTCTAAAATCAATCAGTAAAATTTTTTTTAAAAAGACAGTTAAAAAAAAAAAAAAAATAGTTGCCATCCCTTGGGGAGGCGAGGACTGTGATTAGGGCATGAAGTCTGCCTGGGCTGGAGTGCCAACTCTGCCACTTACTGGCTCTCCATCTGGGAGAGAGGAAGCCAGTCATGGTGCCTGCCTGAGGGCTGCTGGAGATTTAAGTGGATTAATATCTGTAAAGCACAGCAGACAGGAACTGGCACAGTGAGCCACGCAATCAGTGTTCGTATTGTTATCACTGTGCTCATTTACAAGGTTTGCTAATTAACTCTCTTTGAGTATAAAAATCCCAGATTAAGAAAATCACTCTTCAAACCTGATGATAAACCACTATAATCCGGCCATTCTCCAAACTATGGTTCGTGTGCAAATCTGCTACAATTCTTTTTCTTTCTTTTTAAAATATGTCTTTACTGATTTCAGGGAGAGGGAAAGGGAGAAAGAAAGAATTAATGATGAGAGTCACTGATCGGCTGCCTCCTGCACGCCCCCTACTGGGGATGGAGCCCGCAACCTGGGCATGTGCCCTGACCGGGGATCGAACCATGATCTCCTGGATCATTGGTCAACGTTCAACCGCTGAGCCACGCTGGCCGGGCGCCAGTGTTGGTCTTTAAAGAAGCCCTTAGGTCCTCCCTTCTCCTAGGGGAGCTGAGTCAGGCCAAAGCCAACTGCAAGGGCAGGACTTCAGAGCAGGCGAGCACTGCAAAGCTCACCTAAGAGCCCGCTCACTCACACTACCAATGAACAGAAAGGGTCACTATCAGTTTTCCTTGGCACCTGGCTCAGCCATGTCTTCTGAACAATGCTGCCCCGGTCCTCTATACTCCCAACCAACCCACTGATTCCGAGCAACTTTTCAGTATCGATCTTGCGTGCATGGCGGCGAAGGTCAGTCTTGTCATGAGCACGTGGTCCCTTGGAATTTACTTACTTGGGTGAAAAAGTCAGCGATGTGCCACTTATTTCCGTACTTTTTAAAAATGTCAGTCATTGCTTCGATCATCACAGAGCCAGTAGAGGGGTGCCGTAAAGCAACGTGATCTACAAGTTAAAACAAGAACAGTTCACCCAGTTTCCTCCTCCACTCGAGCCAGCTGACCTCGTGCCCCCAGCTAAACCTGAACTGAAAAGGCAAACGCCTCGCATCCGAGGGGGGGTGCCTGGGGCCATAAGAGATCCTGTGCACACCTGGCCTCCCGGCGCACACCTGGGCCTCCCAGCACACTCGTGACCAGCAGCTCAAAGCCTCCCAACAGGGTGTTCTTTACAAACAGCTCTCAAATATGCACAGAAGCAGAAAGCCAAGTTTAACAGCCCCCACACAATTATCCCTCAGATTCACGGGTATCATCAGCATTTTGCCATTTGCTTCATTTTATGCCTCTTCGGGTTTTTTTATTGCTGACTTTTTGCTACAGCATTTTTTTTTAAATAAATCTTTATTGATTTCAGGGAGAGGGGAAGAGAGAGAAAAACATCGATGAGAGAGTCATTGGTCGGCTGCCTCCTGCATGCCCGTCATTGGGGATAGAGCCCGCAACCCGGGCCTGTGCCCTGACCAGGAATCGAACTGCGATCTCCTGGATCCTAGATTAATGCTCAACCGCTGAGCCACGCCCGGCCGGGCTGCTATAGCATTTTAAGCTAAGTACCCCTAAATATATCCATATGGAATTGATTTTGGGGTCCTCAAAAATTTACTGAAACTATTTTATTATTAGATTAAAAAACATAAAACACGTCTGTTCAATATCGAAACAAAATGGGAATATCAAAATTACACCTTCTCATAGTAAATCTGGGTTGCAAATGAAAAAAAAACAGAACATCTTTGCAACCTCAGGGCAGGCAAAGGTTTCTTAGAACACAAGCAGCATAAACCATAAAATAAAGAAACTGGTAAATTGGACTTAATCAAAATGTAAAGCTTTGACTTATAGAATGACACTGGGAAACAAAAGATACGGGGGGGCAAAAGTAGGTTTACAGTTGTTTGTATGAAAAATACAATAATTAAAAAATAANGCACCTTCTCATAGTAAATCTGGGTTGCAAATGAAAAAAAAAAAACAGAACATCTTTGCAACCCCAGGGCAGGCAAAGGTTTCTTAGAACACAAGCAGCATAAACCATAAAATAAAGAAACTGGTAAATTGGACTTAATCAAAATGTAAAGCTTTGACTTATAGAATGACACTGGGAAACAAAAGATACGGGGGGGCAAAAGTAGGTTTACAGTTGTTTGTATGAAAAATACAATAATTAAAAATTTATTACAAGAATAAACTTTCACATACTCAAAACTGTAAACCTATTTTTGCCTACCACTNAATAATACAGGAATAAACTTTCACATACTCAAAACTGTAAACCTATTTTTGCCTACCACTGTACATGAATAATCAATTGGCACATAAATAATCATCATTATTCTTCCAGGAAATGCAAATTAAAACCACATGGTGATACTATTATATACCCATTAGACTGTCTAAAAATTCTTATTTTTTACTATTATTTTTTTAATCCTCACCTGAGGATATTTTTCCCATTGTTTTTCAAGGGGGAAAAGAGAGAAAAACATTGAATGGTCACCTCCTGCTCGCGTGAGGACCAGGGCTGGGGATGGAGCCTGGAACCCAAGTACGTGCCCTTGGCCAGGATCAAACCTGGGATCCTTCAGTCCGAGGGCTGACATTCTAACCACTGAGCCAAACCGGCCAGGGCTGTTCTACTTTATTCTTGTGCTGTGTTCAAAACTACTGATGTCCAGAACCCTGACCCTCGTAGCTCCTTTTCTTACCTTACTGCACTAGCCAGGATCACCCAGCCACGTTAGACAATCGTGGTCACAGTGGGCATGCCTGTCATGCACCTCACTTTGAAAAAATCTTACAGCTTCATTAAAGTGTAATTGATAATTGACAATCATGGGTACATATTTTAAGTATACAATTTAATAAGTTTTGACATATATAAACTTCCGTGAAACCACAATAAAGAACATACCAATCCCCCCACCCGTGTACTCGTGTCCTTCTGTAATCAAGCCTCTCCCACTCTATCCCCACGCCCCAACACAACTCATTTGCCTGTCACTAGGTATAGACTGGTTTGCATCTTCTACAATTTCATCAACATGGAATCCTACAGTGTGCACTTTATCTGGTTTCCTCGTTAGCGTAATTATTTTGAGCTTCATCTGTGCTGTAGCGTGGACCAGGAGCTCATTTCTTTTTAATGCTGAGTAGTGTTTGATGTGTGATACACTATGATTTGCTTATCCATTCATCTGTTGATGGTCATTTGGGTCATTTAGAGATTTTTACTATTTCAAATAAAGCTGCCACGAACATTCGTGTGCAAATGACCATGAGAGCATATGCTTTCATCTTTTCTGGGTAAATAACCAAGGAGTGGAATCTTACATCTAACTTGAACGGGGACATTTTTAGTGTCTCCGGTACAGTATGTTTCATTTTAGCTTACTGCCCTTATTTCCTTCGCTTCCATTTCCTCACTAGCATTTTATCTTGAATTACATATATATTTGCAAACTACCTTAATCCTTTTTGAAGGTCAAGATAAAAACAGCTAAATAAATGTCTCTGACTACTTACTTCTATCTTCTCTACATTTCCGTCAAGTCCACCCCTTCAGCATATAAGATTCTTTTAAACTTTAACTTATTATTAACAGTATTAGTAGTAATAACGATATTATTAGCATAATATGTTAGTAATAGTAGCACCTAATTTTTTGATATTTATTACGCCAATTATATCTCAAGATCATCTAGTTTCAGTCTTACCGGGCTGGGTAGGATAGATGATGAAATAATCACTGAACGTGGGCAGCCTCTTCCTGTCCGATATGTCATCCAGGTCCATGGGTTCATCATCCGTTTCAACACCATTATCTCTTCTCTCTGATTTTTGAGGAATGAAGAGACGAAGTACAATAATGCATCACTGACACCAGTAACCCTTAATAAACATCACCACAAGCTTGTATCTCCAAGAGAGAGAAACACCCACAAAAAGCTACGTCGATTGCCAGTCCCATAAGCCACCTGGAACCCCTGGATGGTGGAACATCACTGGGAAACTGCACACCCCTCTCAGGATTTGAGGCTCCCTGATCTACCTCATAAAGGCAGTGACTTGGACCATTTCTCAGCGCAGGTAAGATTTTCATCCAGCCCTTCCTCCCAGCTCAAAGTCCCTAGTATACTACACGACTGAAGTTACATCTAAGGGCCCTCATCTAAAATGTCCTATTTACACACATATATTTTTAAACGTACTTCTTTCCCTTTTCTCTATCATGAGAATTCCCTGCAACATGACCACTGCAAAGGAGTGTCCACTTACCTCCCCTGCAGGCCTGGATTATAAAGATCTTTGGTTTCTCATGAAGTGCCGGACAATTTTTATTATTAAACATTTCAAAAACGTCTTCCAGGCTGACTCTGTGATCGCCTTTTATTTTAATAAAGCCGTTTTCTCCATGGGACATGAGAGTGATGAGGCAACAGCTAATTTCATCTTTAACTTCATTTAATCCATCACGGAATGATGTTAGTTTTTCAAGTAACTCCTGTAAAATAGGGTAATGTAGTAAAAAAGTAGCAAAGGTGGGAAAACAAATCAGAAACGCTAGAGGTGGCCCCTTTTTACTATGAGGTGATCCAACGAGATGATAGGTATGAAAATACCTACATCTCTAACTGAGTTAGCATGAGGCAAATATTCGTTTCTTGTTTCTCCCTTTTTGTTGCTCTCAGAATTCGTCTGATTTCTTCTTGTGCTACAGTTCTTGTTTGAAAAAATTAGGACATTCCTGATTGTCTACCCCAAAATACAAAAGAATTATAGCTCCCCAAAGGGTTAATGTTTTTAATTCTTAACTTATTTTAATATATAAAAATTATTTTATAAAGTTAATACAATAAGGTAGAAATGGAAGGGAATGGAGGAGTGCAGCCAATAATATACACCTGCCAGACAGAGTCTATCAGCAGATGTCATCAATACCCATTCCACATCCCTACTTTCATACATGTTGTAATAAAGACCCTACCCATCTCAATGAAGTGAAAATTAAATGAAGTCTAACTATTGGAAACAAAGAGCCAAAACTCATCATTTACAGACAATATGACTATCTAGAAATATAAAATAAATCAACTAAAAAACAATTAGAATCAGAGATCATCAAGTTGACTAGATGGGTACAAGATTAATTTACAGAGTCTATATTTCCCCAATTACCCAGCAATAATCATTTAAGCCACATCATGGAAAAGGGGATCCCATTCACGGTCACAACAAATCCCAACAAGGAATGTGCTGTACCTAAGTGAAGGAAAGCTTAAAAAAACTTCAGAGAAGAGGCAACATAAACAAACCATGACGTGCCCATGCTTCTGGCTGAGGTGATGCAATACCATTAACTTGCTAATTCACCCCAAGTTAATCTCAATTCAATGTCAGGTCAATCAAAATCCCAAAGGTTATCTGGAGAACTTAACCAGATGATTCTCAAGGTCATAGAGAACAGATCATTCTCAAGAACACCAAGAACATTCAGAGGAAGAAAAAAAACAGTGAGTGGGAATAGGTCCTATCGCAGACATCAAAATGTACTGCAAAATCATGGTGAAAAGCCCTGGCCAGTGTGGCTCAGTTGGCTGGGCATCATCCCATGCACCAAAAGGTTGCCAGTTTTATTTGGGGCACATGCCCTGGTTGCAGGCTTGGTATTTTTTTTAAATCATGGTGAAAAAAATAGTGGCATACTGGCATAACTATAAACAAATATATGACTGAAATATTTTAGAATCCAGAAATCAATTCAATTACTATACATAGGAATTTAGTTCATGATAAAGGTGGAATTTCAAATATGTGAGGGAAGGATGTATCAATCAATAAATGTTGAGATGACTGACTATCCATTTGGAAATAAAGTTAGACCTCCTACACCACACTGTTACAAAAATAAAATTACAGAGAGAAGGTAAACCTTAAACTATTAAAAAAAAAAAAAAAAAGGCACAGACATCTGTAATTGTAATACTTTCAACAATAAAGATAAAATTTTTTTAAAAGTCACAGAAAAATAATTTAAATATTTTTAAATTGGGAAGACACATGGTTTGATCAAGACATGAAAACCAAGAGCCAACCAACAGAAAGACTGACCAGTTTACTCACAAACGTTAAAAGACTAGTATGGCTTAAGACGACAAAAAGTCAAAAGGCAAGTAACAGGGTAGGAGAAAAACATTTGCACTATATTTTGTAGATGAATAATGTTCAGGAAAATAACTACAGAATAAGAAAAAGAAATTCCAGTAGGAAAAAGGCCAAAGGATACAAACAGATCATTTACAGGAGGGAAAAAAATGGCCAAAAGATACTCAACCAAACTGATGGCCTGGAAAGTGAAATTTAAAACAGGGAAATACTTTTACCAGTAAGATTATTAAACATTTATAAATGAATGTTGACAGGATGTAGAGAAAGAGTCTACTTCTCGACCTTTGAGACAATAAACCAAAAGAACATTAGCAGCATCTGCCGTCTGAATGGAAGGAACCTGGTTAAAAACCATGTAATGTGGCAGAGACTCTGGTACAATCCTTAGGGAAAATGAGAGTCTGTTTTTAGCTTTGAAATAATAATAAAATCGAAACTGAGCACTTAACCATAAACCAGGTACTATTCTGAGAACTTTCACACATAGCAGCTCATCTCATCCTCACAACCACCCTAACAAGATAATTTACTATCATCTCCCACCCCCGCTGTACAGATAAGAAAGTAGTCAATTAATTTAAGGCAAGGTGTCTAAAACTATTATTGACATCAGGGGACAGAAAATTCTTTGCTGTTGGGGAGTGTCCTGGGCATCGTGGGATGTTTAGCAGCATCCTGGGTCCCATTAGCACCTCCCGTTGTGACAACCAAACATGTCTCCAGATATTGCCAAATGTCCTCTGGGGGACAAAATCACCTTCAGCTGAGAACCACATTTATGGTAACACAACTAGTAAGAGACAGGATTCCAGCTCTGGCACCCACACTGCCTTCACAGCCCTCCCGCTGTGCTGTTCCCAGATGTTCATTAGCGGTGACTCCCGGGGTCTTGAAGGGCTTTCCTAAGTCTTTGACCCAAAATATGGGCAGATCTAGGCACGACCGCGCTAGGGCCAGAGAGATCAAAATGGAGTTAACCGCCCAGCCGGCATGGCTCAGGGGTTGAGCATCAACCTATGATACAGGAGACCGAGGTTCGATTCCTGGTCAGGGCACAGGCCCGGGTTGCGGGCTCCATCCCTAGTCGGGGGCGTGCAGGAGGCAGCCGATCAATGACTCTCTCATCATTGATGCTTCTATCTCCCTCTCCCTCTCCCTTCCTCTCTCTGAAATCAATAAAAAAATCTTTTTTAAAAAAAATGGAGTTCCCACTCAGCCCCCACTGCTCATCAATCTTATCTTTTCTGTGTCATCTAGTTAAGTCACAATGCAGTTCTACCCAGGACTCTCAATGACCCCTCTCCCCACCCCTCACATGGTTCCAAGTCCCACAAGGACTTTTCATAGCCCATGGGCTCCAGTGTTGCTAGGATCCCTCCAGCCTCACCTCCTGCTGACTCTCAGAGGGTCTCCTTGGTCTGCCCTTCTCCCAGATGCCCTGGACCCTGCCCACTCTGGACTCACAGCTCATCCTTGGGCCTCCTTGTAGACTATGCCTAGGACACCTTCCTGAGTCCCCTCAGCCCCAGCTAGGACTAAAACCCAAGAGGTCCTGCTTGACTGGGAGGGGCGCTGGGGTATCACACACTTCCCATCACAAAAGTATCAACAATTTCAATCAGGAGATACAGGTCACTGCTCAGCAGGTCCTGGGTCTTGTCAGGTACTAAAACCCAATTTTTTTCCTAAGAAAAGGAAGGTTATAAAATCTGCGCCATGAGTTTTCATTTTTGTTTTTGATTTGTTACCATTCTGTCAGGGTCGGTGCACAAAGTACATTCGAAACGGCACTGGCCCAGCCACCAATTCATGAACAGGATGTCCTTGTCGGCCCCAGGCCTGTCCTCCTTGACGCACATGACGAAAGCCTTCCTCCTGCCGCTCAGGTCGTAGCGGTCCTGTTTTCCAGCAAAGACGAGAAACGGTATTTAGGCCAAACCACACTCGGAAAGCCAAAGGCTCCGTGTCCAGCTGACCCTCGAACAACGTGGGTCAGGGGCACCCACCCTGTGCGCAGTGCAAAGTCCACCTGTAACTAGTCAGCCACCTGCGTAGCTGGGTTCCCAGTGGCCATCTCTCCCCCCAAACAACGCGGGTTGGAACTGCGCTGGTCAACTGAAAACCCCCTGAACCAGCGGACCCACGCAGTTCCGACCCACGTTGTTCAGGGTCAAATGTATATGAAACGATGAGTTGCTTCTGGGATTAATGGTGAGCTCAGATCAGGCCCACAACGCTGACGGCCTCTATTAGCAGTTCTTGGGGGAGGCATGGCTTGATTTAGAATTCTTTCAAATACCTTTCTCAGACCTGGACCTATAGGCCAATCTCAGAAAACGCCTGTATACAACCTTAACTACCAGTTTAAAGAAATAGGGCAGATAGAGGAAAGTGGTAAATGACAACACAGGGTTGCAGTCAGCAAAATCCAGAATATAGGACATTTTACAGGACAAATAATCTGGTTTCTTCAGCAAATACACTCCTAGAAAAAGGTCAAAGAAGGATGTATTGCCCTGGCCAGTGTGGCTCAGGAGAGAGGTTGAGGGTTCTATTTCCAGTCAGGGCACATGCCCAGGTTGTGGGCTCCATTCCCAGGAGGGGGCGTGAACATTTCTCTCTCTCCCCCTCTCCTCTCTCTCTCTAAAAAAAAAAAAAATCAATCAATAAAAAATATTTTTTTAAAAAGATATTTCATTAAAAAAAATTTTAAAGTACGGTAAATCAAGAGTCTTAACAGACAAACCAGTCAAATGCAGTTCTGCAGACCAGAGTTCTGATTCAAACCAACCAACTGTAAAAGACAGGATCCAGTCGAGTAAATCTGAATGCTGACTGCATCTTTGCCAAGCTTAAGGAGTTTGTTTTTAGGTAAAATAAGGGTATAATCGTTCTGTTTTGAAAAAAGTCTTTCTCAGAGATACATATTAAAATAAAGCATAAGTAGATGAAGTGATAAGATATCTGGATTTGCCTTAAAATAAAAACAAGCCTGGCCATTATGTTGCTAATTATTGAAGCAGAATAAGTCTGCTGGGCTGAGGTTTGGAGGGTGCACCTCCCCACCCCCTCACTCTCCACCCCCCCCACTCCCAGTCTCTCTACCTTAGCATACGTTTAAAATATCCACAATAAAACTTAAACAACACCACCAACAAAAAACCCTAAGGCCACGCAAACAGTTTTATCTGCAGTGGTTCACCTTCTTTGACTTGTAAAATGGAGAGAGTAACGGTGCCTATTTAGGTTAATGCGTGCACTCTGGTTTGAACTGGCTAATGTTTAGCTTTTACCGTTAGAACAGAAAGTGAAATCTGACCTCATATCTAACCCAACAGGAACAGCACCCAAAATGTTCGGGCGGCGGCTAAATACTAACTTCACTAACCTATGTGCAGTCAGGAGTAAGAATCAACATACTTACCAAGTCACCATCCACACAGTCACAGCTTCTCTTCAGAATTTCTCTTGGAATCACTGAATGAATTTTCATGGGGAGAGAAGAGAAAAAGAGCGATATATATTTCTTTTTAATCAAGCTCCCCCCTCCCCTTCCCTGACTTAAAATTGCCTCTTATGTTTTTGAGTCCAGCAGGCCTTCATCTCATTTTAGAACAGGATCCTTGGATGAGGAACACCCCCACCCCCAAGTGATGAGGCTGGAAACCTAAAACAGAACTTCCTTAGACCCAGTCAGGTTCAGGGCAGAAAGACCCAAGCCAGCGAGTAAAGGACGACCAAGTGACATCACGCACACGCACTGCTTGAGTAAGGAGACCAGGGCATCAATGAGAAGATAATGTAAAGGAACTAGGCCCGACTTTATTTTTTATTTAACATAATATCTCAGCATTCAATTCAAATATGGACTGGCTAGTGTGTAGTAGCCATGACGCTGCAGTTTGGATGATTGTCAGAAAGAAAGAAAACACAACACTTTGCCAACAGCAGGTGACTCACAGTCTAAAGGGGCGATTAACGAGTGATTGGTAAACAGCTAACTGGGAGGAACAGTAAGTGCGGTGCAGGTGCAGGAAAGAAGGGGAGAACCAACAGTCAGGGGGCCTTGTCTGTGGGCAGTTAGCTCGCATCCAGGCCAACCTACAAAAATCAGCAACAGCCACATACCTGGAACTCAGCCAGATCGTAAGCAGGCTGAGGGGACAGGCCACCGCAGTACACTTCTGTGTCCACCTCAAAGCCTCCAACATAAGTGCTGTCTCCTCTCTCTCCATTCATTCATAGACTATACACATACACTTGGGGGGGAGCTAACCTCCCTCAACCTGTTACCCACTGCATTTCTTTTTTCTTTTTTTAATGTCTTTATTGACTTCAGAGAGAGGAAAGGAGAGGGGGAGAGGGAGACAAACATCAATGATGAGAGTCACTGATCGGGTGCCTCCTGCGCACCCCCGACTGGGGTGGAGCCCGCAACCCGGGCATGTGCCCTGACCGGAATCGAACCCAGATCTCCTGGATCCTAGGTCGACGCTCCGCCACTGCGCCACGCCCGGCTGGGCACCTACTGCATTTCTTGATCCTAAAACCACGTCGTCCAGCTTTATGGCAAATGGGCCAACGGCGTGCAGGGCGCAGAGGACCCCTCCCCCGAACACCCGCTGGGGACATGGCAGAAGGGACTCCAGCTCTGGGCTGCTGGCTCATCGTACCATCTAAACACCCCCCACGGCACAGCCACCTGTGAAACATGCACCTGGGGCCTGCGCAACCGACGTGATCGGAGCCCACCCCAAAGCGGCTGCTCTTCCCCCGGACACTCGGAGGCACAGCCTGCAGATGGGGACCATCCGGCCCGCGCATCCCCGGCCTCCCACCTCCCGCCGCAAGTTCAACCGGTGCCTCAATGCACGCGCCCTCCGGGCTCC